CCCCCCCCCCCCCCCCCCCCCCCCATTCCCAGTGTAAATAAAGCCCTTATTGCCTTTATAACACAGAATGACCAAATGTTTTCTATGAGGTTATTCATCCGTACCCGCCGACCCTGTCAGTGACATGTTGACGAGCAGCGTACAGTAACCTATCTTCCCTCTGTTGTGTAGATGAGTCCATGCAGAAGCTGTTTGAGGGAGGAAAGGGCAGCGTCTTCCAGAGGGTCTTGTCCTGGATTCCATCTCATAACCACCAGCTGCAGCTCGCTGGGGCTCTGGCCATTGCCAATTTTGCTCGCAACGGTAAGCACAATTAAACTCCATTTAGGATGTTTAAATATAAAAATTTGACAGTAATTGAACTGTGAGACCCAGCACTGATCAGGATCTGACACAACATCAAGGTGTCCGCTCTTGTGTTTTTATTTCTGAGTGTAGATGGGAATTGCATCCACATGGTGGACACTGGCATCGTGCAGAAGCTTCTGGAGCTGTTGGATCGGCACGTTGAGGAAGGCAACGTCACCGTTCAGCATGCAGCACTGAGTGCCCTGCGGAACCTGGCCATTCCTGGTGAGAAACTTGCGCACACACCAGGGACCTATGTCATCTACCCTAGGTTAAGAACCCCTGCTCTAGATTCCAGGTCTTCAAAGGTCCACTTGGTTTCTAGTAAAAAGACCTGACCCAGGACCCATCTGACTATCCTCCGTCTCATTGAGAGGGTTATGGTACCGTTGTTCTTCACTGGCTGTGTGTCTGCTACCTGTTATACTGACAGCTGTTTCTATTATTTTGGCCACCCCATTTATATCAACTAAATTACAGCAGCACCTCTCTGTATAACACAATACAGTTCAACAGCACTAACTGCAGCCTGCAAAGTGATCTTTGCACATCCGCACCAGCCCGGTTTAAAGAAAATGTCCATTCTGGGCTAATGTAGACAGATGTAGATAGGAAGTACATATAAAGGGCTAATTCTAAGCTAACGAGAAACGCAACGATTCTTATTTCAGGGTTTTATACACTCATGACCCACCTTCCGGTTCCCCCTCAGGTAAAACACGTTAGCCGTAGTTTGTGCCGTTAGCCCTGTTAGAACCGTTAGCTATGAGTGGAACGGACAAATTCAATACCTACACTATGGTGTACAACTACATGGAGGCTCCGAAGTCCCAACCAAGATGCCAAACTTTATTACTCCTTTCAACCTTGACAAAGGCAGCGCAGACCGGATCCATTCCATCCGTTCTTACCTTTCACAATAAAAGCCCTAGATATATACAGTGCGTAACTGTTTACCAGAGGGAACTGAAATTTACTCGGATCATTTTGCTAAAATGAAACACTATAAAATAGCTCACAGTAGCGAAGGCTAAACAGTTCCCTTCAGACAGACTGCCAGACGCAGCTCTGGTTCAATAGGATCCTGGTAGTTGGAACCCTTTATTGAAAAAGTGCTGCAGCTGTCGCAAATTTGCATTGCTGCCAGTATAGATAGTTTTGATGCGGAAAATTCGCAGGTGAGTATTCTGCATTTTGTTGTTGTTTGTTCGTCGTGCCCCTGGTATGTAAAGGCTCAGTCTTAAGACCGATTCTTCTGCCACTCACCTTCTGAAAGAAAGCCATTTGATCATAAGTTCTGGATCTGAAAACATAGTGCTCCTTGCTATATTTTTTTGGCCTATCATACTACATCAGGTTGAGTTAAGTACAGTTCATTTTTATCAAGATATCACAGCTTCAAATCAGCTCTACTAAACAGTTGAGAAGACTATTCTTGGTTAAAGAGATATGTTTTCCCATAAGACAAATCATATAATACATTTGCTAACTACAAAGAATAGTTGTTATCAATGAAAATCTTTGCTTGATTGCTTCTGTGTTGCATGTGCCTTGTTTCCTCTCTCCAGTGGTAAACAAATCCAAGATGCTGTCAGCTGGTGTAGCAGACGTGGTGTTGAGGTTTTTGCAATCAGAGATGCCTCCAGTCCAGTTTAAACTCCTGGGGACGTTACGCATGCTCATCGATACACAAGGTAGAGATTTGATCACTTCTATCTTTTTCCCTGTGAAAGATGTTTAAAGCAAATCATGAGTCGTTCTCTGTCAGCTCTGTTTAAGCTGTGCTGTGATAATCAAAAGATTCTTTTCAGCCTCAATTCTGATTCATGAAGACTCACAAATATGCTGACTGCTGCTCAAGACTTAACACTGGACAGATGGTTTCTTATGACGAAAGTCGTCATAATCAGAATTAGTTACTCCAACTTCCATTTGAGCTTTTTCCAAAAAGGCCGAACTAAATGAAATGCAGTTGGGTATATTTGGGTACAAATGATCAGTAATCTGTGTGTGTGTCGTTTCAGCTGAAGCTGCAGACCAGCTGGGAACCAATGGGAAGCTAGTGGAGAGGCTAGTGGAGTGGTGTGAAGCCAAAGATCACGCAGGGGTGATGGGCGAGTCCAACAGGCTGCTGTCGGCCCTCATCCGACACAGCAAGTCCAAGGTCCGACACAGAATACCGTCTTTAGGAACCGTTATTATTCCTCTTCCTTCTACTGTAGATTCAATTCAATTCATTGTTTGGCTAAAATACAGACCTAGTTATTTTTAGTCATTTAAATGTGCTGAAGAATTCACACAAAACATCCAATAAAAATGCTTAATTTCAAAGACCAATCAAGACACATCATCAGGTAGACAAATGTGTTTTGTCACCGTTAGCTGGCTAACGTTTCCTCGGATGCAGTGACACAAAGTGGATCGTTTTTTAAAACGACAAAGTGCCCCAGTAAAAGCTCCAAAGAGTGTGGTGAGGAAATATGACCCTGAAAACATTGAATATGGATTCATAATGTCAGGCAGTGAGGGTGAAGGGAAGCAGAATATATATTTTGGTCATTATAGCTAACGGCAGCACAACACATATTTAAAACCCAGTTTGTTTTTCTCCAAAGAGAGATCAGCTACACATTCAGAAAAAAGAAGATTAATTTATAGAAGGATTCATTTTAAGACGATTCAAATTGTGCCGGACATTATGACCAATCCAAAGGGGTGGGCAAGCATAGGATGCCTTTTATGATTTATCAGAATCGGATCAACTTATATCATTTATAATACACCCTTTACACCTCTATCATCTAAGAGATTATCAGTCCGTTTTCTGCCAAATTCACTCTCGGGGGGGGAGGAATAGATCAGAAGGATGGCGAGCTGGCCACAGAACTCCACGAACACCAGGCGTGCGTGCGTTGCTTTGGAGCAAATGAAAATGAGTATTGTAGACGTTTCACTTCAGGATGGCGCCGTCATCTGATCGACCTTTACAGAGACAAACGATCAAACTACTTCGAACAAATAGCCGATAATAATCGATGGCACCCATAATTGTAACCCCTGTACCATGTTAACTATCACCAGATACTGCCGTCACACAGCTCTATGTAACAGCAGCACAAATAAAGAGGAATCGTCTCTAAAATCAGTGTGCTAACATTAGCAGTCATAAGCTACGTTAGCAGCCAAACCTCGAAGTGCATCCACTTGAGAAACTGTTGTTTATTGCTTATGAATTCAAATGTTTTTGCGGAGGAGTTTTGTGGTATTTCACCCAAAAGTTACAAAGTCTGGCTTTAACAAATGATGGTGTCACAACAGCCTGAGTTGTTATTGATTCTGAAAGTACATCACAGTGATTTTCTTTTTTTCAGGAAGTCGTCAGAACTGTCATCCAGGGAGGAGGAGTCAAGCACTTAGTTACCATGGCAACTAGTGAGCATATGATTATGCAGAACGAAGCACTGGTGGCTTTGGGTCTCATAGCAGCGCTGGATTTGGGTAAGAGTGAGAATGAATCATTTGTGTTTACAGCATTTGCCAAGAATGTTTTCATTAATCAAGAACGTAGAGCTATCAATCTGTCAATCCTTTCCGTGTCCGGGCCGGGTGAGGTTTCCCGTGTTGAGTCAAATTAAGCCGCAGGCTCCACTCCTGGTGGTGCCCTTCCGTCAATTCCTTTAAGTTTCAGCTTTGCAACCATACTCCCCCCGGAACCCAAAGACTTTGGTTTCCCGGACGCTGTCAGCAACTCTTTGTCTTATCTCTGCAGGCTTAGCAAAGCCCCTCAGTGAGACTCTTTTCTTTCTGCTTCTCAGTTGCAGCTGAGAAGGACTTTGTCGGAGCCAACTTGGTGTCGGTGCTTCACAAGCTGCTGTCAGATGAGAGGAGCGCACCGGAGATCAAGTACAACTCTATGATCCTCATCTGTGCAGTCATGGGCTCAGGTGAGCCTCTAAATGCTTTCAACAAATGCAAATCCTTTTTATTGAAATGAAACCCTAAGTTTAATACATAATAACAAATCTGACTTGTAAAAGGTGCATATATAGACATTATTTCCATGCTGTTCTTTTTTCAAATGTAACATTGATGATGCTGCTGGTAATAGTTACCTCTTTGAAACTAGAATGCAAATGCAAAGCTTGAATTAATGAATTCTCAAATAGTGATTAGAGAGATAGGCTTCTATTAGAGACCGACATTCAGTCCTAGTTTTCCTGCTGAAGAAGTAGATTTGATCATATTTTAGTAAGAAGCCTCCCTGTTTTCTCATTTGCTCCTTTTTCATTTGCTGTAAATACAAACGGGTCACTTTCTATATGATAAATGTTCTTGATACATCGTGAAGAATGTGCTTTGTCCACCAGTACAGCAAGTCATGAGCTCCTTTATTTTTCAACAAATAGTAATTCATTTACTAATACATTCACTAATTCTGTCAACTAGTAAATTCAATTCAACCCTTTCATCAAGCTCTCCAGTGGTTTGAAGGGCAGAATATCTTTCTCTTAGGTTGGCTTTAAATGTGAGTCTTTCATTGTCAGCATAGCTCAAAGCAGAAGATTGCAAAGTACGAGCCTGAAGCTGACTCACTGTTATTCAACTGGATGCGAATCTGAACACCAGTTCTTTGAGGGTTCATTCTCCTTTCTAAACTTAGCTGATCATATGTTAGTCAGACGTCTTGCTGTCAATGCAAACATGTTCTCCATTATGTTTATTTGTTGTCTTGATAAACATAGTACATGATATATATGTATAGATACTTCTTACTAAAATATGATATATATATATATCTATCTATCAAAAAATGTTCCATTTAGTAATATCCATATGAAGTATGCTGTTCACATGATCTTGTCATATTGTGTATAACAGCGTAATGTAAGTGGGCATGTATACGTAGTCACTGATGTTGGCTTAACAACACTGATGAAATGGCGATCTTGATACTTTTGGAAATATTGGTGGCTTTAACTCGAGCAGCAGATCAGTGTGTATGACATCACGTTGTACCATTGTACTTTAATACCCCCCCTTCTCCTCTCTCTTTAGAGCCCCTCCACAAAGAGGTCCAGAGCCTGGCATTCATCGACGTGGTGTCCAAGCTGAGGGCCCACGAAAACAAAACGGTCTCCCACCAGGCGTCCCTCACAGAGCAGCGATTAACTGCCCAGAGCTAAATGACTGTCCGACCCCGCCCACACCCATCCACCCAAAACGCCTGCCTGACCACCCAATCACCCAGTGACACCTCATGACTGCTCTCCCCTCTGTGCCCCATCGTCACGTGCCAAGGTACCATTTCGCGTTAACTGCCAGCCAAGACCTGGTCATGTCTCTGCCCTGCCCACCTCCACCAGGGTTAGACTGATGTGGATTTATTATACAAATCATGAAATCTGAGCATTTTCTAATGTCATTTTATTTTGAATTACAACAATTCAACGAGAATGAAATCGTCAAGAGGGTGGAAAAGCCTCTGAAACCATTTTTAGACTTGTGTGGGACACCAATACTCTCCCTTGAAAGCCATAATAATGAGATTTATTTAGGTGGGTTAGCAGGTCCTTAACAAAGCCACGCCCCTTAAACGCTCAATGGACACCGTAGACTTCCTGGTCTACCTGCATCGGTCCAACCCTGGTCCCCTCCTCTACTTGTGCATGCATCTTCTGCTACAAGTAGCTCCACAAACAGCCTAACGCAATAGATAAGAGACGACACTCTTTTACGACCATAGCTGTGAGACCATCCACCGGTAACCCACCAGTGAAAAAATGTGCACAAAAGAACAAAAAAAAAAAGACTTCCTGTTGTGATTTTTCCTTCATTTTTAAGAAAAGCAGCCATCCATGATGTGCCCAGTTGTGTCCCATGTAGCTCAAGTATAAATTGACCAGAAAATGTGCATGTTTTAGTCCTGTTTAAGGTGTGACAGTGTTCATTTGACCTCTACCGCTCGCATAGTCCCAAAGTCCAGCCTGCCCTCCTCCACTGACACCTCCAGTCTTGTACACTTTTGTTTGCACTTGTTGTTTACGACTCGGATCGAGAGATTTTATCAGATTTTTAATTCCACAGTTGTCCGAACACATTCCCTCTGCTGCAGCAGCTGTACAGTGAACTCCGCCCCTTCCCTGAACGAGGGTCCTGTAAGAACCAGGTGAAGCAAACGTAGTGGAGCACAGAGCTGTAGTCAAGTCTACCTTCAGTCTGCTCCAGGTCACCTCCAAGACCGAGGGTACAGCCACGGTGAAGTCCAGACCACAATAGGGAATTGGAAATAGAATTCAATGAGTAACAAGTTTAACTATCAATAGGGAGCTCTGATCCAAAGCCGTCATAATGCGTATCAGTCCAAAGTTGGACATTTCAAAAAGATGTTGTAAATACATACACAGCAACCTATAAGGTGAGAATGTCAGGTAGGTGCAAAGTAACAAAACATGCAATTGAGTGAAAAAGAAAGGTCTCTTCCATTAACATCATTTCAAACTGGGTGGAATCAAAGATGTCTTTGATTCCACATGGATGGTTTTGACTTGAATTAATTAAACCTTGTTTTTCTTACTTTGCGCCTACCTGGCAGTTTTTCCCCATCCTTTATGTCGTTAAGCAGATTGCCTCTCCAACATCTCTCCATTAGTTGCCGATCACTTTGACACCTTGCGTAGCCAGATCTCTACAGATGAACGTCTTGTTTGCAGCACTGTGGACAAACTCAGAAAATATCAATAGAAGATCAATTTTAAATGATATTTTGGATGGGCATGAAATGGTGGAGTAATCTATGAAGAGCAGCCAAGAACAAGTCACTTTCAAGTCAGAGTAGACATGAGACTAAGAATTCAGAAAGTAGACTAGAGCACTACAGCCTGTGAGATACAGTTATAACGCACCATAGAGCCCCAAGAGATGATCACAAACTTGCTGTAATTCTTCCATATGAAATAAAGTGTGTGTGTTGTGGAGCAGTGTGAATGCTGCCTCTGAATGGTCACTGTATTTAACCACAGGCCTCTCTCTCTATGTACCACAGTTGCTTTCTGCTAACACGTCAGCATGTTCACATACCACCCCGTCTCCTGGTCTGGGCCCATGCTTTTTCTTTTCTCTTTTTTAAAGGTATGAATGGTTATTTATCAGATGTGTGCTCTTTCTAAAGACACATGCCTGTGGAGATGTATCCATAGTAACTGTGTGAAATCCTATAAACTTAAGTGTTTGTTGTAAATGTCATGAGTTGTACATTTGGAGGATTGTAACTCAGCAGATAATTAAAAGATGATAGCTGGTGATGGCTGACGTCTTCAATCCCTACTGTAGCTCGGCCACGTGTCTGAAATGAAATGTTCTTATAAACATCAGGTTTAAACTTAGAAGCAGTGACACATGGAATGAAATCCCAGCTGATATCTAGCAGCAAACTCTGCTTTCCCCTCTCGTCTGTACGCTGATGAATCAGTCGTACAGTTGGGGGTGTGCACGATGTCTTTTCATCCGACACATCGTCGGGCTACCTCGGGACAATGTGCATCCGCGGACATCTTTCCATTGACTTTGTATGACTGCGCTGCCTCTAAAATTAGCTTTGCCTTCTATGTGTATTTATGTTTATGACGGTCTATAAGTACCATTGTAGGTTAAAAACAATTTGAAACAAAACTCCATGATTTGGAGATTTAAGTCACAAGTTGCCAACAAGCAGCCGAGTGTCTTTGCTTCACTTGCGGTGTATTTAGCAGTAGCTGCTTGTGAGGGCTGTGCAGTGCAGCACACGGCTTCTCTTCAGGAACGACAGGAACACTGACAGACCATGTGTGGGAAGTGATGCACAAACAAACCAGCAGCTCTTGGTGCCATAAATCTGAATGAAGAAACACCACTTTAAAGACTCAAGTATGCAATTGTTTTTGGTCACTTTAATTCATTTTAATTGATATTAAAACCAGTCCAATTTCAACAGGACATGAGACGAGGACATTAGAGGAGGTAGTTACATGACAGTGTTTGTGGGATTCCATGTGATCATCTAATCTGTAGAAGTGGTGCAGCTGGTGATGAGTGAGGCCTGAACAGGACCGTAGGACGCCTCGCCGCAGCAAATCAGCTTCAGTAGTAAGCAATGTTTTCAATGTTCAATAGCACAACTACCAGGGAAGTTATGATCAGATGTACAATACATTTTCAGTATCAAAAGCACTACTGATCCCTTGTTGCTTAACACTTCCACATTTTCAGTGTACGAGAGCTCCACAATATCAATCTGAACATACTTTACTGGAAAAATACTGCAAATACTTTGCAAAACAAGTGATGCATGCTTTGAGCAAATCGCTTCAAACCATCGAAAGGAACGCAGATGAAAATCAACATCCTAACACTTTCCATTTCATAATTCTGTTTTCAATTTTGTTCATTCAACATTGTGTTTACTGATCAGATGTGCGTCACAATACAGGCTGTGAAAGACGACCACTGGAGACACGTGCCAGGTTTGTTTTCATTCGAGTAAGGGCAGAAATGTTTAAGACAATACTGAACATGTTCTCCTCCTGAAGAAGTCAAGACAAAGGACTTGATCCTCGTGTTGGAACCAGGTGAGTGAAACACAACCTCCGTATCATGGTTCTAACCAACATATGAAATGAAATGACAGGTGGGTTACAGCTACACACGTGGATCAGAGCTTCAACATGATCCAGATTATTTAAAATCTTCAAAATGTTTAAAAAGGTGTGAAATAAAGGGTTAACTTAAACTCGCAGGACTGTCAGAAGAGCTGCTCCAGTTTTACAGACTTCATATTGGACATAATGTGACAGTAGGACCAGGCTGCCTGTGCTAGTGCTAGCTTTGCTACAGATGCTGAAACTTGACTTTTTCAATAATTCCTTACTTTGAGAAATATAAATATATTTTCGACAAATTTTTCATTGAAAAGATTAGTTAAGATTTTTCAAACCCCTCTTAACACCAACATAATTCTTCCTGTCTGTTAGCCAATCAGCATGCGTATCTTTCTTTGGGGTGTTTTCAGATGCTGGAACCAGACAAAGAGAGCTACTTGATTTGGGCGAACGCCGACCGTTAAAGGCCCAGTGTGTTGGATTTAGTGACATCTAGTGGTGAAGTTGCAGATTGCATCCAATGAAATAACCCTCCCATCATCCTGTGTAGTAGAACTACGGTGGCCTTCAGGTAACATGAAAAGGTGAAAGGCTCTCTAGAGCCAGTATTTAGTTTGTCCTTTCAGGGCTACTGTAGAAACATGGTGGTGCAGCGTGGTGGACTCTGAAGACTGCTGCCTTTGTAGATATAAAGGACTCATTCTAGGCTAATGAAAACACAGCCGTTCTTAGTTTCACGTGATTATACACTGATGAAAACATAGTTATTAATACTGTATTCCATTTCTGGAAATAAATCCTAAATCCTACACACTTTAGTTCCTCACATTAGCTTCAGCTTTGAACTCTGGAAAGCATTTTTTACTCTCAGCGAGGACTGTGGATCTGCGCGCCGAATGGCTACGTTCACCATACAGACGGCATGTCTTAAATGTATTGTATTGACTTAGATGTCAAAATATCCATTTACAAAAAAAGTTTGCATTTTAAATGTTTTCTCAACGTAAGCTGCTTTACAACAACTTTACCAGAATTGGAAAAGAAAAGGAGTCGGAGTTCAGAGATGAAGTCTTTGACTAGATTGTTGAAATTGTGAGATACATCTTGTGATGGAGTGTATGGAATCTGCTGTAACACACAAAAATCCTAATCCTTATCCGTATTATGTGAGAAGAAAAAAAAAAAAAAAAAGCAACATCCTGTTTTCAGTTTGGTTACTCGGCCCACCAGAGCCAGAGCGTGAGCGGTGGAAAGGTTTACAAAGCCAGCACTCAACTTTAAAATGAGCCGATCGGCGGTTTCTGGAACACAACTATGTCACGGTCCTACATGATGGGTTTAGCAGTGGAGCGTCGGTTCCACAGTGAAAAATACCGATCTATTATCAAAAGATGTATCAAAACCCCTACTCTCTACGCGTCGCTATCAAAACCCAGCGACCTGCATGTAGTGCATGTTTAACCCTCGTCTCCAACAACTCACACAGTGTTATATACAGAGCGGTTCACGTAGTAGTGCCTTGGAAAAAAAGGTGCTGGTTCGGTGAAGAAAAACGGTGCAGGAGATCGGCGAGGTCCTCTGAATGCTCCCCCGGCGATGTGTTCAAAGACCCCGAGCTGACAACACAAAATCCAATCAACATTATTTAACATTTTTATGTGATTGTGTATTTTACGTATACAGCCAAATTCTATTTCAGCAAAAAAAAAAAAAAAAAGGGTTACCTGTTAAGAGTTGAAATGCTGCGTCAGCATCAGGTAAAGAAACTGGAAAAGAGCAGATGTAAAGTGAATTCATCAGAAAGCCGGCAGAATCATCTGCTTATGAACAACAAGCCAACACCAGAAAGCAGAAAAGTGCCGGGTTGGGATCAGCAGTCTGAACCAGAAGGCTGCAGAGAGAAGACACTTTGAGGCAGAGAAGAGACGAATGGAAGAATGTCACAGAGGAAGAGAAGGCCACGAAGAAAGACAGGACTGTTGTCAAAGTCACATGACTCCAAGGCTTATTGATGCAAACTCCATAGCTCAGTAGGAACATGAATTTGGTATTTTGCAGTTCTGGCAATTCTGAAATATTTCTATCGGCTGCCACCGCAAAGATGACCCCCGTCTCAAAGAACCACATTCACAATAACGGATAATATGAATACGCTGTAATCCTACAGAGTCGTATTAGTGCCTAAACTCTGAGCGTAACCATGTTTAGAAGTGATCAAAAAGGTCTTTTTCAGAAAATGTTAACATCTGAACCTACAACATGGTGGGATTTCTACTACTGCTGCTCCACATGTAGAATGTAGATCATGTTGGCTATGGGGGGGGAAAGAAGAGACTTTCATGTCAAAACTTGGATCTTGTGCAGAAACCGAAACAAGATTACAACTGACGCGCTCATATTTTATGTGGACAAAGTATGGAATTTTGTACAAAGCAAGACAGTGACTAGTGTGCATATGATACAAATGTATTGAACAAAATCGATTTATGGATCTTGTGTGAACGAGACGATAGGGGCTCTGTACTTTCCAGGCCTGTGTGCAAACTTTGCATCAAGCTTTCTTGATTCTGAAAAATACTGGTATGTTTGAGTTAAGCAATGACGATGCCAATTTACTTCAAACTCAAAAATCCAGAATCCGTTCATAGTATATGAACAACATGGGCCTTTTGTGAAACAAATGGGTGCAAATCGAGGGAGGGGAGCCTCAGAAAAGCTGCTGTCTGTATGAGGACACATGAGATTCTGAACTGAAGTATTAAAGATCATTTTCTCACCAGCTCGCCCGCACAGCTTCGATGTCACTCACTAGGTTTTGGGCCAAACAAATCCCAAAAATCTGTGGATGAAAGACAAACAAAGGGTAACATGGAATGATGCTGTCTGTCATCATGACGGGTGAACATGTGAAGGGAACTGACCTGCAGTAGAGCAACTCCAATAAAGATCCCGGCCACCAGGGTGAGGTTGTCCTGCAGCCACTTCTCAAACTGCGGCACGCAGCCCTTCACGTTGATGTAGTCCTTCTGCTCCGAGTCCTGATCAACACAACCTCCTGTCATCAGCTTCACATTTCACCTCCGCAGGTTTAAAAAAACTAAAAACATCTGCCATTTGAAATGTCTAAATTAAAAAAAGGTTCCATGGAAAGATATCGGCTGCATTAGTGTAGGCCGTCCGGGACAGAGATGGATCACCATGTGTTCTTGTTGAGCACAGAGACTGGAGGCCTGCTTTGGTGTTCTGGACACAAAGACCTGAAATACATTTTTATGTTCGGCATCTTTTCATCTGCCTTTGAATTATCAGACTGTTACTTTTCCTGGGAGAAAGATCTTCGGAGATAATAGTTCTAAAATGAATATGTAATTAAATGTATCATATCTGTCATAGCAGAGCTTTTCCCACCCTTTCATTTTAAGGACACATATTGGTAATTGTTATAAATCTTGGCCTCCAGAAGCGAGATTTAAGGTAAGAAAAATGAGGCATGATGGCGATTTCACCTGCCTTCAAAATCACTGTTTGTGTTATAACTAGCACTAAATAACTACGGAATCAAGTAGGAGAGATGAAATATTACATTTTCCTAGTGAATATAAAATAGAAGGGCGGCTTCAAAATGAAAGAGTGAGAGTGAACGAGTCACTTACTGGTTTAGCTCGAATGTCGTATCCACACTGAGTGTTG